TGGGAGATTTTCAAAAACACATGATTTGTTTGGATCGAGAGAGTCGAATGTGCTGTCCTTTGTAATGAACTTCATCCTCTGTAATGAATATGCTATCTAACGTGGGCGGTGGATCCGCAAGCGCGGTCTCGGGGACAGGTAGGTCGTCAGTTGCAAGTTGTGGTTGTCTGGCAAAAAAGTCACCTAGTAGGTTGCCTTTATCTAAGTCTTCTGTCAATGGGGTTGAATCGGGTCCTACGAGCGGTGGCACTGTCTCAGCTCGTGTCCGTCCTATCATTTGTTTAAGAATGCGCTGGTACGTGTGTGGGTTTTGCTTTGCATGGAAGAGGTTGTTTACTTGATATTGCAGGTAGCTGTTCTTAAGTCGTCTGTTCATGCATGTGGTAAAATTTCTTTGCTGTCGCCAGCGGTCTCAATGGTCATCAGTCATATACCTCTGAGCTCGTCTGAAAAGTCTGTCTCTTCTCCTCACCTATCTCCTAAGTGCAGCATTGACCCAAGTTTGTCACACCTGATTATCTTTGTTGGGATAAACATGCATGTGAAACTCTCCCTGATGCACCTACAACACAATGCTTGAACGCATTTGTCTGCACGGCTGGTCCAGAAGCTTAGCTTGTGCAAACATTTCGTCAGGGAATTTTTTATCGAAAGCTTTATCCGCAGAAACTTGTCGGTTTTTGGTATCAGCGGGTATGTCCTAGATTTGGGTAGGCTTATGATGCCACTGGGCTGAATTGGTCGCATCGTTTGAGTGAATTTCAGTGGCACTTTGCAGACAAACCACGATCATTGACAGCTGTTCAAGCTGTCATAGTAAAATCCCTTCTGGCAACCGGTAGAGCACTGTTGACATGCCATACAGTTTTAATTTAGTCATTGATCCAGCAAGGCCGTTATCTCGGATTACGACAAGTGCTTCAACGGATACCGACCTTACAGATTGTGGGAAATCCTAAATATTTCAAATTTCCGAATCAAGTATGTGCTGCGTCTTATTTCATACCGCATTGTATCGTATGAAACACGAAAAACAATCGTTCTCTACCAATGTACCATTTCACACAGTGCTTTAAGATTGTCGCTTTATGCCTTCCATCGCTAAATCGTCACCCAGTTGTATAATAACTGATGCATGTATGCAAACGCATCGTGTGCATGTGGACCACAAAATCTCACTTCAAGTAATCACTTATCACGCTTGCGTACGTGCGCACGCGCGTCTGTGTATGTATATGTTTGTTTCGGACAGATGTGGATGTGGTGGATATGAGAATGAGTAACAGGTCCATTACCGGGCAATAGATTGGATTGGACATTTGCCCGTCGCAGATTACTTGCAGCGGCCTCCGATGGCACCCTGCCAGCCCAAATGCGCCGGAAATCGATGTGCGATCACGACCGGAGGTCCGTAGGGAGGAGATGGGAATACGAAGTCCGCCCCACGGGAGTGGGCGGCGCACAACAGACGCAGCCGGAACACGGCCGCTCGGCGACGGCGGCGGCACGGGGGCGGCGCGGAGCACAGGTCTGCGGGGGAGCGCCGACGGCGCCGGCTGCAGGGAGGGGGCCGCCTGCCGCGGGCACGGGGGCGGCGCGGAGCACAGGTCTGCGGGGGAGCGCCGACGGCGCCGGCTGCAGGGAGGGGGCCGCCGCCGCGGCACGGGGGCGCGCCAGCCCCAACACCCGACCTGGCAGCCGCTCCACCCTCCCACTGCAGTGCCGAGGGGCTGGCCGTCATCGGAGACGAAGAGAATGCCAGAGGCAGATGCTCAGACAGCTGTAGTCATGCGGAGAGCCTGCTCTGCTCGCGGTCAGCGACAGGCCGTCGGGAGTGTCGGCCTGTCAAACCATACAACGCCCGGCACCACGCCAAGGCTCAGTTGCAGTGGCCACTGTTGGCTCGGGAAGCCACGCGCTTGTGAACGGGTGGCTCTGCGTTCCCCGACGGCTCAGGCGCTATTGCCCGCCGGGCAGGCTGCCACCTGGCAACGTCGTTGGGCGTCTCAGCGTCTTGGATCATATAATGGGCCATTCTGTGCCGGCGTGCCGGCTCCATAGCAGCAAGGCCTCCCCATGCTGCTCCCGTGTCACATGCCATCTGTCCTCAGTCATCCGCCAAACTAACTACTCTAGCTACCGCCACCGTTCACACACGCTACTGATACACGTACACACACGTCACGCACGCCCAGCTCACCAAGTCGATGGCATGAGATGGCGGTCGTCGCGTCGGCTCGAACAAACAGCTCAGGCATCGCACGGTGCGGTGCATAAGGGCTCGGGCATCGCGCGGTACGGTACATAACGGCTCGGGCATCGCACGGCGCGGTGCATAACGGCTCGGGCATCGCACGGTGCGGTACATAACGGCTCGGGCATCGTACGGCGCGGTGCATAACGGCTCGGGCATCGCACGGTGCGGTGCATAAGGGCTCGGGCATCGCGCGGTGCGGCACATAAAGGCTCGGGCATCGCACGGTGCGGCGCGTGCGCCGCACATTTGGCACGCGCACATGAGGCCAGTGAGTGTCGGAGGCTTAGGTGTTAAGGTTGGAGTCCAGGTAAGACGGGCGGTGGGATGCGAGCGCCTCGCCTGCCGCTGCGGCGGATGACTGGGGGACGCGGCGCCGGGGGTGGGGAGGGGGCCCGACTGTGGGCCAGTTGATCAGCAAATGTGGCACTAGCGGGCGAAATGGACGGAAGCAACAGCGGTTACGCTAATAGGTGCGGCCGCTGGGAAGTTTCACGAGAAAACCACGCAATCGACCTAAACCTACAAACGTGCCTCGCCTGTCCCACAACACAGTCAACGGGTCCTGAAGGGACACATGGACACCATCATGGACATGGACACCAGCACGCCGGCGGGGTAATGGCCTGGACGCTCGATCATAACGATCACAGGCGGCCTCCCTGAGGAGGTCGGCGCGGGCATCACAGTCGTCCGCGATGCGTTCTTACTCAGGTGCGAAAGCACGGTGGTGGAGGGGACCGCCCAGTGCAGAGGATGGTGGAGGGGACCGCCCAGTGCAGAGGATGGTGGAGGGGACCGCCCAGTGCAGAGGATTGGAGGGACCGCCCAGTGCAGAGGATGGTGGAGGGGACCCCCAGTGCAGAGGATGTGGAGGGGACCGCCCAGTGCAGAGGATGGTGGAGGGGACCGCCCAGTGCAGAGGATGGTGGAGGGGACCGCCCGGTGCAGAGGATGGTGGAGGGGACCGTGGAGGGGACCGCCCAGTGCAGAGGATGGTGGAGGGGACCGCCCAGTGCAGAGGATGACTGCAGAGACGCTCGGCCAGTGACGGCCCTCGGCGTGTTGCAGATCTCGAACGGCTCACGGGCGAACGCAATGGAGTCCAGGTCACATGATGGGGTCACTTTTTGCGCTAGCTTTTCGATCAGTTTGGTTGTGCCCTGACGTGGCTGTCTCAATGGAAGTAGAGCAGAGACGCACGGTGATGCACACCCCAACGCCGCATGAAGTCTCAGGTGTGACGGACAGTGTACTGATGTACTGCCAGTGCCAGTAGCAGATGACAGATGTACTGCCGGTTGGCACCGCTCCGGAGCACGCAGGGAACGCCTGTCGCGGCAAACATGTGTCGCAGGTGGCGGACCAGCGTCCGGGTGGCGGCGTCGCCTTTACGGTGCACAACAGCAGACCTCCCGGAGAGGTGGCTGACCTACACCAGGTAGATCTGTCTGTGTGACTGAAGAAGTCGATGGACGCATTCGAAGACTTGCATCGGCTTGGGCCGAACATCAGCGGCTCACGCTGATGACTAGGCAACCGCTAACGGCATGCCTGGCGTGAGCCGACGTGATCGGCGACGTGGCGGTCGGTCCCAGGCCAGTACACGGACCGGAGGGCGCGACGCTGAGTGAGCTCGGTGATACGGGCCATGCAGGCGCGGCGGCGTCCCCTTGTGTGGAGGCCGCGAAGAGTGGCCATCCGAGGGCCGCATACCAGGATGCCGTCGTTGACAGCGAGGCGCGCATCACGGTCTCAGTGCAGTGGCCAGATCAAGCCGGCAATCGCGGAGGCCGCACAGCACGGCCCGGCCAGGACCTTCTCCCCATGAGACCGGCCTCCTCATGCTGCTCAGGCGCCACATATCGACCTATATGTAAAGACATAACTCAGACTGCTAGAACCACCCGATCGTCCTCGGCACTGAGAAGTTGCCAAAGCAGCCACGGTCCCAAGTTGTCTGCCGTAGAGCTCACACGAGTTTGCCTGAGCGCGTTTCCGACGTTCATGTTTATATGACTTGCGGCTTATATGCATTGTATGCGCTCTTTCCTTGTACGTTGCTCCGGACGAAATGAGCCGGACAACGCCATTGCCCGCTAGTTATAACAAACAAAGCAAGCAGGCCTAGTCCGAAGCTTTTGCCCTAACTTAGGTATCAACGGCCTTCCTTCCAAACGTTGGAATTTCGCCACTTTAAGGTGAGTAGAACGGCCAAAGAAATTAAGTCGTCGTGACCCAAACTGCAGATCAACTGCGCGACAACCTTTGTCTGCCAGCTATGGCTGCTGTGACCAGTTCTCTCCTTGCAATGTGCCAGCCGGCCAGATCGAATGCATCCAGCTGACAGTGCCAGGTCCACTGACCTAGCATGCCAACCGGGAAGGTGAGAGCGCCAGGTCCACTGACCTAGCATGACAACCGGGAAGATGAGAGTGCCAGGTCCGCTGACCTCACATGCCGACCGGGAAGGGTGAGAGCGTCAGGCTCACTGACCTAGCATGCCGACCGGCAAGGTGGGAGCGCCAGGTCCACTGACCTAGTATGCCAACCGAGAAGGTGAGAGCGCCAGGTCCACTGACCTCACATGCCGACCGGGAAGGTGAGAGCGTCAGGCTCACTGACCTAGCATGCCGACCGGCAGCGCCAGGTCCACTGACCTAGTATGCCAACCGGGAAGGTGAGAGTGCCAGGTACACTGGCTCAGCATGCCAACCGGGAAGATGAGAGTGCCAGGTCCACTGACCTAGCATGCCGACCGGGAAGTGCGTCAGAGTGAGCAGGTCGCTGCCGATCACGCTCTGGGTGACGATCCACACGTAGTTTTTGCCTGTGATCTCCAGAGCCTCAGCCGTCTCCATGATGTCCCTGGCCTCATCCCTGTGGAACAGCACGCTCACGTCAGCAGAGGTCTCGGCAGCGCGGTGCGAGACTCCTGCAGGTCCGGCCCTGCCACCTGTATGCTTCACTCGTCCGGGCGGCGGCACTCAGCCTGGCCATCATGTGCATGCACGCAAGAACAAATGCATCGGTTAACATTTTAATGACTGACTGTCGATCGCTAGTGTAAGCAGTGGTAGACCCTGCCGACCACCGCGGACACCGATAGCCGGCTCGTTCGCTACTCAGGCTCCAACGGTACGGCCCATGTGCCAACAGCGATGTCGTAATTCACGCCCAAAGACAAATAGCGGTCATTGTTGTGCGACTAGCCGTTCAGATGCGTCATTTGTACGCCTTGATCGACCAGAAGCCCACTACCGGCCCTGCGTCTCGCAAGCTGCATAGCGTTCAGCTCCAAACGTGTGCCGTCCGTTCGCTGAGAGCACCAAGGCCCGCCGCTTTATGTGCCGCAGTCCACGCTGACGCCGGTTGAGGGTGTACGGCGCGAACTGGGCGCCATGATGGACACACGAATGAACGCCACGTGAAATGAGCTGCCATATTCGGCTGTTATGGACTGGGTCACGGTCCGTGACGTGCCCTGCTTAACTCGGCACAACATGACCACCTTCAAAGAAAATGTGCCGAAGGTCTTCCCTCATCTGATATAACAAAACACGGAGGTAGGCCAAACCAGCCCTTCCCAGTCTGTGTACACAAGTGACCACTCATGCTTTCTCCCCACGTGCGCGCCGAGCGGCAGAGCCACAGAAGCCCTGCAGTGGCGGCGGCATGCGATGTTCAACGGTCTGTTGGCACCACCGTTTGCTGGTGGGAACCGGTCAGGTGTAGAGCGGCGTCCCAGAGCGGCTGGCGCGATATCTGAGCCGGCTCCGGCAGCCGGTGTGTGGGCAGGAGGTGGGGCGCGGAGAAGGGGCTGTCTGGGGATGCGGAAGCGCAACGGAGGTCACCAGAAACACGACATCAGAATTAGCAACTCCTCCCCTCTCCCTCTCCCCTTCTCACTTCTCTCTCTCTCTCTCTCTCTCCCTCTCTCTCTCTCTCTCTCTCTCTCTTTCTCTCTCTCTCTCTCTCCTCTCTCTCTCTCTCTCTCTCTCTCTCTCTCTCTCTCTCTCTCTCTCTCTCTCTCTCTCTCTCTCTCTCTCTCCCTTCTCTCCTACTTTTCACTGTTCAGTAACATTACGACATTTTTCTTTGGCCCCTTGTGAAAACGGACGAGGCAATGGGCCGTGTGAGCATTACACGAGTAACAGAGAAGCAGCTGAATTAAACTGGACTCCTGTCGGCTCGGCCACAGCACGCGTCATGCCTTGAGATGACATAAAATGTGCACGTTGTAAGCACACACGAATGGACAATGCATACTATCCTGAACATTCTTGCAGGGCACCACCATGGTGTGGTCTCTATGAGCTCAGATTCTAATATCAGGCACCAGCGTTACCGCAGCACTCGTCTTTCGCGTACAGTGAGCGAAGAGATGGCACTACTGCGAAAGTGGCGATCTTGCATCGATTTGCGCTTGCGTTGACTGGGCTCAACATATCTAACCACTATAACATGATAATTGCGTGATGGCCATTTTTCATGGTGGTGTACACGTTCGTGACTTTCATGGCTCCGTGTTCCATGCTCTAGGTCCCTCGGACTTGCATTTGGAATAAAAGGGCAAAGAAGGCTTTAAAGGCAGCGATGACCGCTTCCCAGTCAACTGCTGTTGTTCCTGTGGACCAGGTGGTGCTGAGCTGTGCAGGTGATTTGTAAACCGCATATTCGCCTAACGATGCAGTTTGTTCTAAGTCCACGCTTGCTGTGGCTGCCGCGATCTAGCGATAAGCACAGAAGCAGCCGACATCGGTGGGTCCGTGGTTTGCACTCAGTTGCGCGTCACTTGGCTCACACCGTGACGCCCGCTTGACCGATACGACAGTCATCCTCAGCCACATCCAGCACGCGTCCTCAAAAACATGTAGCACCTTGCGGATGGTATCTGGAACTTTGCCGCCCTTTGCCACAGAATGCATGAATGTGTACTTAGAAGTTGCAAAAATCATGCAACGAACGACGGCTGCGCAGGGCCGGGCAGCTGAGACTAAAAACTGTCCATGGTCAGGCCCACTCGTGGCCATCACATTCACTGACGTCAGCAAACAGCATGCTCTCACACAAACCAAGCGCGGTCATTGCTGAGCCGCACGCAGTCGTCAGTCAGAACAGCAGCAGTCAGAGGGGCTAGTGCCAGTGCCGCGCCTCCCCAGTTGTGCGATTGGAACGTTCCGTCAGCCGGTGTGTGGTGCGTCGGCTGGTACCTCAGAGAGGCCAGTACTCCGCTCGGCGCCCCGGGTGGGTCACAGGATGGGTGTCAGTCGACGGCGCGGGTGAGTGACAGGACAGGTGTCGGTGGACGGCGCGGGCGGGTGATAGGACTGGTGTCGGTCGACGGCGCGGGCGGGTGACAGGACTGGTGTCGGTCGACGGCGCGGGCGGGTGACAGGACTGGTGTCGGTCGACGGCGCGGGCAGGTGACAGGACTGGTGTCGGTCGACGGCGCGGGCGGGTGACAGGACAGGTGTCGGTCGGCGCCGCGGCTGAGTGACAGGATTGGTGTCAGTCGTCGGCGCAGGTAGGTGACAACACGGGTCTCAGGTGTCGGCGCGGGCGGGTGACAGGACTGGTGTCGGTCGGCGGCGCGGGTGAGTGACAGGACTGGTGTCGGTCGACGGCGCGGGCGGGTGACAGGACTGGTGTCGGTCGACAGCGCGGGCAAGAGACAGGACTGGTGTCGGTCGTCGGTGCGGGCGGGTGACAGGACTGGTGTCGGTCGACGGCGCGGGCGGGTGATAGGATTGTTGTCGGTCGACGGCGCGGGCAGGTGACAGGACAGGTGTCGGTCGGCGCCGCGGCTGAGTGACAGGATTGGTGTCAGTCGTCGGCGCAGGTAGGTGACAACACGGGTCTCAGATGTCGGCGCGGGCGGGTGACAGGACTGGTGTCGGTCGACGGCGCGGGTGAGAGACAGGATTGGTGTCGGTCGTCGCCCCGGGTGAGTGACAGGACTGGTGTCGGTGGACGGCGCGGGCGGGTGACAGGACTGGTGTCGGTCGACGGCGCGGGCGGGTGACAGGACAGGTGTCGGTCGACGGCGCGGGCGGGTGACAGGACTGGTGTCGTCGACGGCGCGGGCGGGTGACAGGGACTGGTGGTCGGTCTACGGCGCGTGCGGGTGATAGGATTGTTGTCGTCGACGGCGGCGGGCAGGTGACAGGGCAGGTGTCGGTCGACGGCGCGGGGTGAGTGACAGAATGGTGTCGGTCGTCGGCGCGGGCGGGTGACAAGACTGGTGTCGGTGGACGGCGCGGGCGGGTGACAGGACTGGTGTCGGTCGACGGCGCGGGCGGGTGACAAGATTGGTGTCGGCGGCTAGCGTGATAAGTGGGGACTGGGCACACTGGCAGAGGTACTGACACTGATGGGGACACGGG